TATATATATTATTATATATATATTATATATATAAATATATATATATATATATATATAAATATATATATATGTATGTGTGTGTGTGTGTGTGTGCGTATTATATAAGTATATGTGTGTATGTATACACAAATGTGTCCATGTATATGTATATATATATATATATATGTATATATTTATACATATATATATGTGTGTGTGTGTGTGTGTATATGTATGTATGTATGTATGTACATATATATATATATGTATACATATATCTATTTATATATATATATATATGTATGTATGTATATACATAGGTGTCCATGTATACAGATGCATAAAGATATAAGTATACGTATAAAAATATATCTAATATATATATATGTATGTATGTGTATATGTATGTGTATACTTAGGTATCCATGTATACACATGTATAAAGATATAGGTGTACGTTAATACTTATATCTATATATGTATGTGTGTCTGTGTTTGTATGTGTGGATGATAGAGGGCGTATATATATGTATGTATGTATGTATATATGTCTATAAATGAAAATGTATGAAAATAAATATATATGTATGTATGTATGTAAAGTTTTATGTGCATAAATATATATTCATATATTATGCATATATATATTATACATATATACATGTTTACATATCTCCATATATATATATATATATACGAATATATATATATATATATACGAATATATATATATATTTGTAAATTTATGTGTATATCTATTCTTGTTATATATATATATATAAATGTGTGTGTGTATGTATGTATATGTGTATGTACATATATACTCACTATGTATATATATGTATATATATATATGTGTGTGTGTGTTTGTGGAAATATACATATATATATATACGTGTGTGTGTCTGTCTCTGTGTCTATGTTGTGTCTATGTGTGTATGTATGTATTTTTATACATATAGATACATATATTTATATGTATATATATGTGTGTCTGTGTCTGTGTCTGTGTCTGTGTGTGTACATATATATATATATAAATATTTAGCTCCAATAAAGCACAATTTTGGTTTAAATTTGTATTTATTTCAGTATTTGTATCAGTGTATATATTTTATTTATATTTATATTTGTATGTAGGTATGTATTGATGTGTTAATATATATACATATTTTAATATGTAAATATGACTATATGTCTGTATATATGTATATATATAAATCTATATATGTATATACATATATATTTATATATATATATATATGTGTGTGTGTGTGTGTATACATATGTATATATATATATATATGTATGTGTGTGTGTGTTTTTGTGTCCGTATTTATATTTATATTGATACATGTATGTATATGTGTATTATATATATATATATATATGTATGTGTGTATAGTGATATATATATATTGTGATATATATATATATGTGTGTGTGTGTGTGTGTTCTTGCGTGTGTATGTGTGTATGTATTTTTATATGTTTATGTATATAGGTATGCATGTATGTTTATATATGTATATGCCTGTCTATATGTTGGATTTATGTCTTGCCTTTTTTATTGCTATAAGCATTTCCCGTCATTCGTGCTTATTGCATTGCTGTCAAGGTCAGTGTTTACCCTTAGTCAGTATGTTGTCCTTTGGATTAGCTTATATGCACGTAGTGTATTTGTTGTACTTCCGACACAGTACGGACGCTCTTTCATCAATAACGGCGGCCGTAAGATGATCTCGTGAACTCGCCAAACTTTGCCCCACACTCGGTGCAATTACTCTCACACCGTTTGTGAATGGATTGTTCTTCAATAATAGTCTTCTATCTTATCTCCGCCTCAAAATATTTTCCCATTGTTGGATGTGCATGTACTTGTCCGCTGCATCTCATGTTGCTTTTGCCAGTACGAGAAAATGCAGCTTAGTTACTAAAGCTGCGTGCTGGGCTGGCGAATTGGGGATTGCGTATACCAAACTTTGGACACATACTGTACCCTGCCCACTTTATTCCTCCTAAAATAAATGCATGTACCTCCTAACATATACCTGGTAACCTGTGCTATACCTCAAACCATTAGCTCATGTTTTCTGGACAATCCTATCTCCGCCAAATTAGAGCCAAGCCGAACATCTGAACCACAACAAGAGCCCCACAATACACAAAAAGAGACCGGACCCATTGGGCTGCTGCCCAGGTGCAGGAAACAGCCGGCCATGACCTCGTCCAAACCACCGCGTGCAGTCGAGGATCCGTTCAATAAGCGCAAAGTATGGGCCGTCAATGAAACAATCCGTTCAATCCCGTTAAACTATGTTCGACTGTGTTAAAAGTCTGTTAATGAATGTTATAATCTATTCTGAAACGATCAATGGGGTGTGTGCAACTCGCCAAGATGTGCACCATATGCTGTACAAGGCCTGGGGTATCGATATGGTGTTCAAGGTACATACATGTGTGTACGTGCGGCGTGGATGGGTGTGAGCATAGTTCTCGTTGGACTTGTATGGAATACAAACACCTCCTGCCACTTTATGGGCACGAGTGGTTGAGGATGTTGCTTGAGAATGATTGCGCTAGGCGTTCGGGTTTTTATCGTCACGTCTGCTCACATAATAATCCAAACCTTGGCCTTGGTTTTTTCCTTGTCTTTGGTTTTTTTATGGTTTCCGCTTTGTATTTTAGTCCCTTTGTAACAGATATGTATAAGACGGAGAGAGGCATTAACTAACCCCAACCCGACTACCTACTTATTCGCACTCCTTCAGGAGACGGCAAATGCAAGAATACAGAAATTACATACGCAGATGCTTGCAGAGGTTCTGGGGGTGTCGCATGGCGCACAACCAACACAAGGGACTCCTGTGGTTACTGTAGTTAACGAGGCGTGTCGGAAGAAACGGAAGGTCTCCGCCTGAGAATGCGGGAAATAAACTATTAGCGTCTTGACATATTGGATATACATATGTATATGCATGTATTTTGAGGTACAAATATACATAATGTGTTCTGATATATATTTACATACATAAATGTATTAGTAACTTGTATATACACTGATCTTGTATAAAAAATATCAATACCTGATTGTTGCAATTATGTGTATTTGTGTGTCGTTTCACTATATACTTTGTCTACTCAAGTACAGCAATAATATTAAACATAACTTATTCTATAGATTTGAATATTTGTGATTGTTGCAATTATGTGTATTTGCGTGTCGTTTCACTATACTTTGTCTACTCAAGTACAACAATAATAATAAACAGAACTTATTCTATAGATTTGAATATTTGTTGTGCGTGTATAATCTATGCTGCACATTTTAATACCCTGATTATAAGTTCGCAAGATTCTCGGATTAGCACGTTCATATGAATTGATTGGACCTGAGAAGGTCATCTGCTTGTTCATTGGCTTGAAGAAGCCGGTGGAGAACTGATTCGTCTGTCTTGGACGGTTGTATTATCAGAGACATCATCCTGTCCTCAAAGCATGAGCAGCTGATATACGTAACCTATGGTACCACCGCAATAGATATCGTGACATTCAGTAGTGAGAAAACGTTTACAAGTATGAGTTGTATACATGTGCCTTTATGCTTGAATGCCTGCGTTCATTTGACTATCAGACCAGCATGCTCAAGCGCATTCATAAGTTAGAGTATATGAACATATGCGCCGATGCATTAATTAAAAATCAGATATGCGTGCAGAATTCGTGGTTGCCAGTGGCGTCAGCCGGTATATGTTTGTATACTGAATAGCAAATACCACACTTTTTTAACTTGACTATATCGAGTGGACCAAGGAGAAGGTGTGGTTGGATGGGACGAGGTCAGGATGTAAAGGTCAAGAGCTCAGGACTTATTAAGCAGATGGTACCTTAATTGGACCTGAAAGGACTTGGGAGACCCATACTTTGCTAGCAGATGATACCTGTATTGGACCTATTTAGCTGAGCTGGTATGAGGTCGCGACATGTCGTCTAAATATATATAGTGCGACAAGTCGGTCGCGACATGCCCTAAATGCCGGCTAGCCCATAGTGATTTTTTTTAGTCGGGTCTATTCTGGTCGATTCTGAATGAGTGTGAGGTGCAAACCACTTTCTCATTCCAAACTACGTAAGTTCTATCGGTAGTTTTCTGATATGTATAATCCACTTCTTGTTGACAAAAAGTAGACTGTCCCGGGTAGAAAAAGTACATTTCTGATCTACATGTCACGACATGTCGTCTGAAAACGGTCGCGACGTGTCGTCAAAGCCATCAGACGTGTTCATTGACCAGCTCAGCTATCGTTCAAAATCATTCTTTGAAAAAAACAAAAAGGTCGAGCTAGCTCAAAAATGGACAAATACATACATATTACTAGCAAGTATTAACTATGTTTGCACTTTGGCTTTACTGAGTACTCTCACTACTCTGCTCTGTTATTTGCTCTTTTTGTACTATCATTTTTTTCTACAAAACCTGAACCAAGACCTCAATGAGGAAAAATCAGCAAAATATTTTATTATTCTACCCGCCGATTGGTACATCATACCGGATGGTTAAAACAAAAATTGCTTTGTTTTTGTCTTACTCATTCTTTATCACAAAAAAAATAGAACATTTTGATTTACGGGCAGTACATAGTCATACTGTACTTATATCTTATATCTGTAAATACACCCTGTACCCGCCTAACATGTCTCTGTAGTTTGTACTGTACATATCCAGTATTAATATACATTTTGATTATTAGGCGGTTCGGATGTGCTACTTTGGTTTAGAGACATTTGGTGGTTTGAAATCGAGGGGGGGGGGGGGGGGGAGGGGACTAACGACTAACAACTTTGACCTGTATCAACGTCTGGGCCAATAAGAACCCATAGAATGGTACGTCAATAGTACGTTTTTTTTTGCTTGGAACCAGCTCGGCCTTTTCGCGCCGAAAATTCTTGCTTGCCAATAGCTACGCAAGGGGCACAGTCATCACTTCACAAATATATATACGTATGTTAAATATTTAGATCGAACCAAATGTTTGAACAATGCACCCAAATTTATAAGTCCTTAAATTGCCGAAAGTCCAAAATCCAAGGGGGGGGGGGGTCTCTCAACCAAAGTAGCACATCCGAACCGCCCTATTGTTATTTGTAATAATTGTTGTGTGACATTTCAATTTCCAGCCATTCCAGTATACATATTACATACATATATTTTTTTTCTGGACGGTACTCGGACGGGGTATAGCTCTCAATTCTCAATATGTACATAAAAGAGTATTATTTTGTCTACATACTAATTGAAAAAGTAAAAACAAATCAGTGATCGACTTCGAGACGACAGTTCGCCATTGTTCGCTTTTTCAACAAATTCGACTGCAAATAGGTATCCAGGAAAGTTTGAACATCGAACACTGGAGATGACTCAGAGGAGACTGGAGAGTGGGAACGACCCTGACCACTGCTTCGCGGTAGAGTAAAATGACTCTCACCTTACAGTGACACAGCTTCGAATTCTTACTCGAGATATTTTATTGTGCCAAGTCCTGAGATTCAAATCACAAGGCAATCTACTAATTATATTTGTAACAAGATAATACTAAAGAAGTAATACGCCCCTCCGGAACAAGATAAAAGTCGTTTCTAAAAAATGCATGTCCAATAGTAATCTGCTCGTGAAAATAAAAATGTACTGAAGTCTCTTGAAATTCGTGCGCAATGCGGTTTTAAAAGTGCCGATATATACTCTAGTCTATATAGGAATTCAATAGAGCAGCGTTTCTTCTAACGAGAAGTCAGAATAAGAAAGCGTAGATATGTATCTTTAATATCTAGAGCAAGTTTCAGACTGTATAAATGCTATTTATAGAAGAAATTTCTAACTGTGCAACCCTCTGATGCACACCTCCACTCGACCATACACTGATACAGTCAGACACATTCAAATATTCATCTGAGATATCGCTTTGGCAAATTGCTTGCTCAGACCTGTTCAGCGTCTTAAAGAATGCTATAAAATATTCCAGTCCAGAATTATATAAACCTCCAACAAATGCTTCAGCGTATCACTTTAACATCGATTGAAGTTATAAAGAAAAGGCTACCATGACGTTCGTCTACAAGCTGTTAGTTATTTGTCGAAGCATAGCTAGCTTGGTGGACGCCCACGCGTATTTGGTAGATCCACCTAGTGGTCAACAATTGCAGAGTAAAGCCGGTGTCGAGTACTGCCCACACTGTTACAACGGCGGCGGTACTGGTACTGTACAGGGGTTGACTCCTGCGGGTGAATGGCCGTTCGGGAGTTGGCCGTTGGCGTATGGCGAGTACAAAGAGAGAGATGCCACCGCTGTCAGGCACGGTCTCTGTGGTGATGCTGCTAATGGGGTATGTTATGTCCCTTCTACAATGCATTGGATACGCTAGTAATGGATGAGGTTTTTAAGGTTTTTATAATGCTCAAAGTGCGATACAGTTGTTTGAATATACTCATTTTTATTTTATTTTTCGTTACAGGCGTCACTCTACGAACCCGGAGATGCGCGCAATGTAGGAAGAACTACACGCAAGACTTATACTGCGGGAAAATTTGTAGAATTCACGGTCGGAGTATCGACACACCATCGCGGCCATTATGAGTTTCGACTTTGTGAGCTTCAAGAAGGGTACGAACCGCCTATAAAGTTCGAGAAAAAAAATTCTGAGTTCGAATATTTACAATCAACTTAAAGATGTGTTTACTAAGTGGTGCTCATAAATCGCTCAATGGCAATTTTTATATTACCAACAGGGAGCCAACTCACTCAAAGCTGCCTTAACGAACATGTGTTGCAACGTGCGGATGATGACAGCCATATATCACCCATCGACCCTGTTCATCCGGAAAGATACTACCTGGAGCCACAGTGTGCAGAAATTACCAAGGGTCTCACCGCCGCAGACATCGCAGCGGCCTCGAGTTTCAATGTCCATACCTTCCACTACATGAAATATCAGATACCTTCGACTGTTGCGTGCGATTTATGTATCATCCAGTGGTATTACGTCACTGCCAACAGCTGCAATCCCCCTGGCTACAAGAATAGATACGACCACGGAGACTGGCCTACCACCTACTCTCACTGTTCGGGAGATGGCCCGAACTTGGGCTGGTTTGCGGGGCCTGACTACCAGTCTTGTACCTTACGGTATCCTGAAGAGTTCTGGGGGTGTGCAAATGTACGAGTGCTTGCCGATGTGGAGGTCGGTCCATTTCCCTCACCTACTGCAACACCGAATACTAACGCACAGATCACTGCAACCCCAAGTCCAACCACCCCCAACTCACCGAATCCGGATGCCAATCTTGTTGAAGTGGATCTTGATTTCACACCTGTGAACTCGTGGAATGGGTTCTGTACGGTGTCAGTGTCGGTATGTGTTCTTGGCGTGGCGTAGCACTACAATCTTTCAACTTGTAAAATATGTACTACCATGGCAATGAATAGAGGGCTGTTTTCTGGTGCGTATTACTGTGCATCATTATGTGTTTCATGGTACTCAATATCCATCTGCTTTCAACGAAGGTGGTCACCCCTATTGCGCTCGATGGTTGGATGCTCATGCTTCGAGGTTTCACCCCACAAGGTTTGAGTTTTCAACAGATATGGGATGCTGAAGTACTGGCAGAGCTAAGCACCAGGTATGATTATTTTTCTCATCCAACCCCTTTTTTAGCTCAATGTAACCCCTTTCTTAGCTTAATGTAACCCCTCTCTTAGCTTAATGCTCTAGTTTAGCTGCGCCCAGTACCAGATGATAGCGATGCTCTAAACTTATACTTTGTCTCCCACAGCAACGAGATAGTGGCGCGTAATATCCCAGCGTATAACGATGGAGTGAAGGCCCCCGGAGACACTATTACCTTCGGTGGTAATCTGCAAGTGCCTGGGAGTATCTCATGTGTTCGCATAGAAACTGCGTTCCTGTACAATGTCAGGGGAACCAACTCAGAGCCTGAAAACAACCCCTCCACATGTTCAGCTGAATCTATCACGTGTGTTGGTGCAACAGATCTTGTCGATAGAGTGTGCTGCGCTGTACCTAACACGTGTGGTAGCCGTACCAGTGTGGCTTGTTCTACAAAGGCGTGTTGTCAACCAACGTATGACGAGCCGGGCACTTGCGCCAGTGCCAATATTGCATGCGGGGACTTGGCACGAATTGACACTTTGACGTGTTGCAAAGAATACGAAACCTGTGCGGGTATGAGTGATGTCTGTAACGTAGCTACATGTTGCGAAGTGGTCTACGATAATCCTTCCACGTGTACTGCTTCTAATGTTGACTGCGGTAGTCATCTTCGATTAGATTACCTAACATGCTGCAATGAAGACGAAACCTGTGCGGGTATGAACCATGTCTGTTCCACAGCTACATGCTGCGTAATGGTGGCTGATGATCCTTCCACCTGCCTGGATGCTAGTGTTGACTGTGCCGATGATATCCGATTGGATTCCGTGGCGTGCTGCGATACCTCAGCTAGTTGCGATGCCATGTACACTACTTGCTCAGCAGCTTTGTGCTGCACCAAAGTGTTTGATACCCCGGTGTTATGCGCGAACGCCGGTTTAGACTGCGGAGATCAAGTGCCGCTCGATGGTGAGTACTGCTGTGGGGTGGGTCTGGATTGCGAATCGGTGGACCGTGTTTGTTCGACTGAGTCGTGTTGTGAAGACTCGGCTGTGGAGAATACGGCCTGGCTTGAAGCCACGCACTCGGTTATGTTCAACGGCGTTTGGAAGGGAGGTTGTAACGTAAAGGTACGTCTGACTTAAAGCACATGTGTATTTGGTTGTTGTGGTTTATATATGGGACTCAATTATTGCTCTCACCCAAACGCCCGGAACCTACACAGATCTCAATTGTAGCTCCGATAGCGATGGAAAGTTGGGTGATTGGCTTCCACGATATGCTCCCTAGCGGATCGAGTTTGTCAACCACCTGGAATACACCAAACTGGCAACCCCTCGGTCTGGTGCAGCTTACATCGTAAGTACCGTTCAAACCAAACTCATTCGAGTGTTCTGTTCTGTACACAACTGACCATTATATAAAGCGCTCCTAAGTTATCAATGGACACTACGTAGGTTCGTTTTGGACAAGGTGTAGCTTACATCGTAAGTACCATTTAAAACAAACCAAGTCGAGTGTTATGTTTTGTACACAACTGACCATTGTATAGATCACATAGCGCTCCTAAGTTATCAATGGACAGTGCGTAGGTTCGTTTTGGACTGTAGGCTAGTGATTACACGGAACACTCGTGTCAAAACGTTACCTCCCGCAGATCGAGTTTCACCTTGTCGAGCGCCAATGTCCCGGTCAGTGCTGGGGAGACTATATCGTTCGAGGGCACGATGCTAACCCCTGGCTCTAGCAGCTGCGTATCGTTACAGGGTGTTTACATACGCCCGGGTGGTAGCGCAGACACCCCCATACCCAACAACAACCCTCCTACTTCGGCTGGTGATGGTGATGATGATGATGATGATGTGGATGGTGGGAATACAGACCCTGTAGACCCGTCTGTGTACGATACACCCACTGTGATAGACAACGGTGAACTGCAGAGTGAGATAGGGTGCTTCCCCCAGTGCACGTGGCAGTCGGTTGGCGGGCAGATTCGAGCCAATGGCCAGGATGTGAATATCGAGGGCACAAGCTGGTTTGGGTTTGGTAAGAAACACACGAGTATTCGTATGTTACATATCTGCATATGCGAGCCCACGCATTGGACCCGAACGTATTCTACACAGCACGTGCTTCTCTCGTACTTCAGGGGTCGACCAACTGTGCGTCGTCAATCGGTTAAGCAAGCCCATAGCAACCCAAGTCCTGTCGTCATCTAGCATAGTCGATTACTTGTATTGAACATACGAACCCGATGATTCCAAGCCATGTACCCATTTTACTGAATTTCGGTACTCTTCCATCTTTATACTTCGCAGAAACACACGCCCCGAAAGCACCCCACGGATGCGACTCTCAGGGACATACGACTACAGGAGAGTGCTGGATCCATAACTTCAACTTCATGAGCTCGAGTGGCTTCAATGCCTTGCGCATACCCTTGGCGATGGATGGCATTCTCGCCAACGTCGCTGTGCCACAGTCTCCATACTTCGGTATGACAACTCTGGCTATCCTGGATGAGGTGAGCTTTGTGTGCCTGACATGCCAGCTAAACGCAATGATAAACGCAATGATAAATGCAATGATACACAAGTCCGCCTGAAGGCGATAGATGACTTTTGAGTTAACGTTCACGCTCTGTCGTGTATGTCCCGTCTTGGCACGATGTTAATGCCCCTGTCTGTGCCCGCATGCATGCAATAACAAACAGATGATCGAATACGCCGGGCGCTACGGTATCCTGACCTCGGGCTACACACCGACCTTTGGTACGATCCTGTGGTGCACGACGGCTTAAGCGGGACTCAGCACGTGGTAAAAGTTATCGACGTATTGCTTGAACGGTATGCGGGGTTGTTTATGTTCCTGGCACGAGTGGGTCCAGGTAAATGGGTCTTGATTAACGGAATCAATCCCAAGTCTATAAGCAGTTGATAAGCGTAAACCTCATATGATGCTGCACAACATTCAAACAAAGACCCCCGCTTTAAACTGTGTCTCGGTTGGTCGGTCGATTTACGTTATACCTCACAGTGTGCACGCCGAACACACAACCTTCTAAGTGAAACAAACGCGTTCTTAAGAACCCACACGGTCTCTACATAACATCACATTATCCGTCTTCAAAACATCACATTATCTGTCTTCATAACATCACGTTATCTGTTTTCATAATATCACATTATCTGTCTTCATAACATCACATTATCTGCATATCCTCGCCACCACCACAGATACCAGCACACTTGGAACGTTTTCGCACTGGACATATACAACGAGCCCCACGGCGCAGCCAGCTGGGGTGACGGCGTTATGCAAACGGATTGGCATATGGCGGCCACCGTCATAGCCAATCACATCATCACCCACACAGTACATACAAACAACATGCTGGTGTTTGTAGAGGGGGTGGGCAATGGCAATGTACCGGGGGAGGACTTAAGGAGTCAAGCCGATGACTACAACCACTGGTGAGTAGTCGTATGCCTGCCTATGCATGGCAGAAGTGAATCTGTAGTTCTAAGACAGGTCGAAAACCTTTTGGTGTATATCGACTGGCTTTGAGGGGGTTGTGTGTGGTGACAGAGCCGTATGGCCTCACACGAACACTCTTATCTCTTCACAGGTGGGTGGTAACATGGAGGGTGTCCGTGACCGGCCCATACTCACAGACGACGACTCTCGTGTGGTGTACTCTCCGCATGTGTACGGTCCTGATGTGTACATGTAGGACTACTTCAGCAGCGCCAACTACCCCAACAACCTGCCGCAGATATACGACACACACTTTGGCTTCATCACGGAGAGAGCAGTGGTGATTGGCGAGGTGTGTGTACTATACACAGCTCAGCTACACAGAGCGCTTACAGTTACATGCACGCAACCCATTTGGTGCGATCTCCTACACGCCTACAAACTATTCAACACGTTTGCAGTGGTTGCATGCATGCGAAATAGCCTACATCACCCCCCTTTCAACCTTGTGGATAAGTCCTGAACCATATTGCAATTCGCATGTCGGTGCTTGTGGAGGTTACCCTAAAACCTTAAACCCTTCTTTAACGTACACTGTTTCACTCTTTTTGTACTCTGCAGTGGGGAGGCAGGTACGACAATAATGCCGACCGTGCATTCCAGAACACATTGGCACGTTACATGAACGAGAACAACATGGTTAGCAACTTCTACTGGTGTCTTAATGCAAATAGGTAAGCACATGGACTATAACAACATGATTAGCAACTTCTACTGGTGTTTTAATGCAGATAGGTAAGTACATGAACTATAACAACATGGCTAGCAACTTCTACTGGTATGTTAATGCAAATAGGTAAGCACATGAACTATAGCAACATGGTTAGCAACTTCTACTTGTTAATGCAAATAGGTAAGCACATGAACTATACAACATAGCTGTAAGTCAACCCCCGATGTCAAGTGATCAAAAGTGATATACATACTACACACATATCACTAGTGAGCAGCTAGTAACCATAGCAACCCACTCATTTCGCGCCATCCATATACAGCGGTGATACGGGCGGATTATGGGCATCTGATTGGTCCACACCGGACTATGACAAGTTGGTTATGATAGCGTCTATCTACAACGGGAAGACACTCCCGCCGAAATTCAAGTACTCAGTCCCTTGAGACCTCCTTCCATATCAACGCGCCATTCTATATTAGGCGAGCGTAGTCTGGTCACATGCACAAGTAGATAAGACATATCTACCTACATACCTGTTGTGACCTTCCGGAAATTAGGGTTTTTAGGTTTTTCCCGGAAAGGCAACGGATCACTTGTAGGTTTAAATAATGGACAGCCTTCACCTATGGCGCGAAAGCACTGCTACGTGTAGTTCATGTAACATAAATAAGATTCATAAATAACATACATAAATAACAGGCATACACAGCCATCAAACCATACGTCCATCTGAGAGGGACAAACGCGGCAAGCCAGCCCATGGCTACAACACAACCACTCGATCAACCCCAAACCACCCAAACTATTAAAAACACTACACCAAATCGTATAAAATAATATCCCAAAAGAATAGAAACATCGCCCCAAATTAGTAGAAACATTACCCGAAACCATTAAAAACATTACTCCAAAGAAGCAGAAACAAAACCTTAAGAACACTACCCCAAATCACCCAAGTATAACTCCAAACCAGTAGAAACATCACTCCAAATCAGTAGAACCATCACCCCAAATCACTCAAACATTACCCCAAATCACCCAAACATTAACTCAAATCAGATGAAAAATTAACCCAAATCAGTAGAAACATCACACCAAATCAGTAGAACCATCACCCCAAATCACTCAAACATTACCCCAAATCACCCAAACATTAACTCAAATCAGATGAAAAATTAACCCAAATCAGTAGAAACATCACTCCAAATCAGTAGAAACATCACCCCAAATCAGAAGAAACACCACCTCAAATCACTCAAACATTACCCCAAATCACCCAAACATTAACTCAAATCAGTTGAAAAATCAACCCAAATCAGTAGAAACATCACCCCAAATCAGTAGAACCATCACCCCAAATCACTCAAACAATACCCCAAATCACCCAAACATAAACTCAAATCAGATGAAAAATTAACCCAAATCAGTAGAAACATCACTCCAAATCAGTAGAACCATGACCCCAAATCACTCAAACATTACCCCAAATCACCCAAACATTAACTCAAATCAGTTGAAAAATCAACCCAAATCAGTAGAAACATCACCCCAAATCAGTAG